AATATTTGATGTTATAATAATATATTTGCACTGAAACAAAGTATAGTACTTTATTATAATGTATTTACTACAAAGTATTGTGAGTTGCTTTCCAACTCTTGTATTCTGTAGTTAAAAGTCTATTATCAGAAAAATATTATGTATATGTATTATATTATGTATATTTTATACATGTATAGTACATATAATGCGTAACGTTATGCATTAGATAGTAGGGAGCGGTGCACTTGGACACGGTGCATTTGGACACAGCCAATCACAGCACCGTGTGATTAGAGACATTTGTAGGGTCCCTTGGAACAGCGACTGGACTGTGATTGGACTGTGTCCAATTGCCCCGTGTCCAACTGATATACACCCTAGATAGTATAGACTTGATATAATACACTTTTAAATATAAAATACAAGAGTTGGAAAACAACTCACAATATTTTCTACTAAATACTTTATAATAAAGTACTATACTTTGTAATAATACAAATCAGGAGAAAAGCAAGTAAGAGCTTATACTTTGTTTCAGTAAGCAAATATAATTTTATTCTAATATCACACTATTAATTTTAATACGATATATGTATATATATAATTTTATATATAAAATATGCAAGAAAACTGAACATGTATATCAAAGACAGAAACTGTCTTCTTTAACAATATTTTCCATTACATATATTATTGTGTTATATGTGAATCTGAAAACAAATCTTAGAACAAATCTTAAGACAAATATATAAAATGTAATTATTACAAATGTAATATAACTAAATAATGAAGAATGTTTACATCAAAATAATATTTTTAAGAATGACAGTTTTTCTTATAGAAACAAATCAGCACATGCAATATGAATCAAAACGTAACTTAAAACTAAAATAAATTTATTACTTTTTTAATAACATTTTAAACATTTGTCGTAACAAATAATAATTTTTCTTATAACGTTAGTTGTTATAGAAACTAAAATATACTTTTTTCTTTTCATTAAACATAAATCTGAGATACTTTCTTTATTGTACGTTATCCCTTTGCAAATATATCTTGAATATTTTGAGAAACCTTTTTTGCATTTTTATGTTTTCTTTATGATGTACCTCTTTTTGTTTGTAAATTTTGACCCATTCAGGTTCATTCTTTCGGCGCTTTCTAATGTTGCGTCTTGCATTATAAGAAGTATTGATGGCTGCAGAATCATTTTCATTGTTGGATTCTGCAATTAGCTCTGGACTTGATTGTCTAATTCTAAATCCATGCGTACTAGAAGCAATTGATACAGGTGCTATTTCGGGTTGCTTATTAATGAATTCATCGATCATATCAAAATATTCCCAAGATTCTCTGTTTTTCCCAGTTTGATTATTAGAATCTCGTACATTTTTATACCTTTGTTTCAAATTTTTCCATTTAGTGTAACATTGTTCCTCGGTTACATTGTAATCTTTTTCCTTAAAATTATTTGCTATTCTTCTCCATATTGTTTTATGCATACAATTTTTATTATTTAATGATACCACATGGTTTCTAACATTTTCTATTAAAAATTTTGTAGTTTGCATTGTCCACTGATATTTAGAGTTTTCTGTAACAAAATAAAATTATTAAAATACTATAATAATGTTCTACTATGCCATATATATAATTACAAGGTGGGGAAAAAAGGTCGGTACCCCTGAATAACTCGGAAAATATAAGTTTTATAGAAAAATGTTCCAGACTAAAGTTGTAGGGCTTAAAAAGATCTATTTACTGATCTGTGCATTACACTTGTATTCTATCAACAAAGTTTTGCTGACAAGCAATGTGAGCAGATTAGTGGCAGAATATGCATTCGAGCAGGCTCTACTCAAAATCTATTTACGCAGGCTTCATTAGCTGGATTACACACAGAATACTTTGTATAATCTTATTTTGATTACTGCTATTTAGGAAATTGACAAGTATTTTTAAGATTATTTATTTTTACATAAGCATTGAAGGATAATTTTAAGTTTGATATTTACATTGAATATAACAATTTAGAAATATTTTTATATATTAAAATTAACAGAATTTAAGATGCTTATGTCAAAGTAAATAATAATTAATACTATAAATAATACTAATAATAAAATAAACAATAATAAAACAATAAAATAATATGTAATTTTAAAATATATATACCAAATTGATTTTGCTCAATATTATTATCTTCATTCATCGTAATTATCTTTTTATCCTAGAATAAATAAATTTATTAAAAATATCGTTTCAATTAATTTAAATAAATGATTAAAAAAATAGGTTATGCCTTATTTGCTTTTTCTTCTACACTTTTAT